AGCACACATTTCACGTTTAATAACTATTAACATATTATGGACTTAGGAAGTGAATAAATGTGGTTAAAATCATGGCATTTAGAGCCAAGTAGCCTTGAGTTCCATCTTTAGCTTCACCAGTTAGTTTCTGGCTTCCAGCAGATGCTCTTGACATTTCACTGGACTCCCTTTCCACATCATGCTTTTGATGCTGCCAGATGTGAATCTAGCCAGCTCCTTGGACAGACCATTGTAAACTGCTGGATCTGAACAAAGGGTGGATCCTTACTGCAGTTGGGAGAGCACAGGAGACCTGATAGCCACTTGGTACAGTCTCAGCAGCAGAACACTGGTTCTGTGCTACTCCAGAGAGCCAGCTTTCTTTGGCACAGACTAGTTTTTGGAGAAGAGCTATTAATAGGGATGAAAAGATAATAAGGTGCTTGAAAAAAAGACTGTGCACCTTCTTTGGAGCTACTGTTTGTTTGGGCTACAGTAGAAGGGATGAGCCAGAGCCTAGGACATTGCAGCAAGATGTCTCTTTATCTGGAAAACAAGTCTGTGATCCAGCATTTTCCCAAATCAGCAGAAGCTGAAGTGTTGAGCGTGCTAACAATTCATGACTCTGAAGGGAACAGGTTATCTTTTCTGGAGATAGTAGTTAGGCTAGAGACAGATAGGTTTAGGGTGGAGAACTGGAACATACATATAATCCCAAATGCTTCTTGAAGATAGTGGAACTACAACCTCTCTCATATAATAAGTTTTTAACCATAGCTGTTCAAAACAGCAGCAGTGATTTTCTTTTATAATTTTGCTCCATTTCCTCTACCCACCTTGAGGGGTGCTGCAAGTAAACTAGGGGATGAAATTCAAGAAGAGCCAGAGAAGCAGAAGAGAGGAGCCAGCTGTGCAGGGTCTGGAGGCCTGAGTTGGAGGAGCAGTTCATGCCTTCCAGAAGGACAGGAGATGCCCATCTACCTCCCTCCCTCTTGTCCTTAAAGGCCCCAGAGCCTCCTTTCTCCCTGGGTCTGATGAGTTCTTGAACACAAGGGACTTTCAGGCTGGGTATGAAAGTTTCTAGTTTGTAGATGTGCAGTTTTCCACTGTAAAACTCAAATTCCTGAAGTGTCTTGTTTGAACTGTATCATAATATGAATTGTGCTTGGAATGGACTAGGGAGAATTGTTTATCAGGATCTTTGATGTGAGTGAACCTGTTCTTTTAGTATCCATTTTGAGTGTGAAGCAAATTTTTTCTTATTTTGTTGTAACTAGAATTGACATAAAGTCCCAATAACTGTGCCTGGAAAATTCAAGATACCAATAATAAAAAAATGTTTCAGTTTTGAGAAATAAGCACCACAGATACTGGGGTCTGCATAAATCTCAGTCTTCTACATTACTTAAGACTCTGGCCAAGTCTTGGCCAATGTGAACTCTTTCTTCAGTTCTTCAGTCAAGTTCACCTAATTTCCACAGAACTTTCTGTTCTGGCCTCAATATGTACAACTTTAATTGAAACAGAGAAATAAAACTTACAGAATTTAAGATAATAAATAAAGCTTTATGTGAGTGAGCACCCTAAGATATAGAGAAATTGCTATTTTAAAATATATCATAGTAAATCTTTATTGGGTACAGTATGATGTTTCTGTATATTTACACGTTGTGTTATAATCAACTCAGGTTGATAGTTGGGTTATCCATCATCACAGATATTTTTCAAAGAAATTTCTTTAGTTGATCTTTTTCATAAAGCTGGATTTCTAATTACTTATATGAAATTGCACTATACCACCCTCTTTCAGGTTGATTATATAAGAAATTATAATTATAAATGAATAATCCTCAAATTTTATCTTAAAAGTAGTCATATAATTTCTCGGCCAAGTGGTAGAATCTGTAGAAATTCTGGCTGTTTCCTCAAAGGGCTTGCCTTCACCAGGGACCCACTGCACACAGTGAAGTGCTGAGTGGTGACAGGGAGGGCACCCCCAGGGTGCTGTAGGAGCAAAGGAGGCGGAAATGGCTGCCGAATACACAGAAAGAAAACGAACAGGACAAGAACCCGGGGTTAGGAGCTTCTACTAGTACTCAGTCTCAAGGGTTGAGGAATTGCTATTTGGGTGATTGTCCTGTAAAATTTCAGGGACTCGAGGGGATTTATTAATAGTGAGGGCAGTGAAACGTTTGGTTGCTTGTGGCATTGCCCTTTGCAACAGTAAATTTGTCTTGGAAAAATCTAGACTTCGTACTTGATGTTCTTTGCTGATTTAAACCATGCGAAGAGGCAGTAAATCAGATTATCAGCATCCTTGGGAAGGACAGCAATCTGGAATGTTAAATTTCCAGCTGAAAGTACTGGAAGTTTCTTTTTGGCTTCATTTTGTTTTGTTTCTAAGAAAGGGAATAAATGCAGAGAACACACTAGAAGTAAGAACTTGTTTTCAGGAGAGTACTTGTGCCATGTCTCTGTTCTTGTCACATGCCACTTCGTATCTTGTCTCCACTGTTTCTTTTAAAAGTAATAATAGTGACCAGATTTACCACTTTAAGTCAGGCAGGAGATTTTGTCACCTGGACTGTAGGAACTTGACTGGGAATGTTAACCACCCATAACTGAGAAGGAGTTTCTCATATGGCAGATCACATTAGGAGCATTGCGTTTCAGAATTTGGTAACTATGGTTGTAATAGAAAAATGCCTTAATTAGTTTATTTTTAAACTAACATGTAGGATTTTGGTGACTATGTTAGTTATCTCCCCCTTTAATTGTAAGGCAGACTTTCCTTTCAGTAAGGCAATTTGGCATGAACCTTTTGCCCATGAGATTTGTCTCACATGTATAGTATGAGCCACATGTCACTTTGCACAAATCCAACCCTCTCAGAACAGGGCAGTGAGTGTGGTGGTGAGTATGTCAGGGAAGAGCTGACTCAGGGAGAGACCCTGAAGAGACCCAAGATGAAGATGATTCTGCTGATCCCCAGCTCTGTGGTCTTGGAGCCAGGGAGGGTGGAAGACTGCAGCCTCTCCATTTCTAAACTAGGCATAATGATAAGAGCCTTGAAGAATGGTTATGAGAATTCGAGTGCCCAAGTCTAAAGTGCCTCCCAAATGTCGGTGACTCATCTGTCACTTTGTGGATATCACATTGGTCCAATCCAGCAATATTTTCCTGCTTTTATGATGTTGTTGACTGAAGTTGGAGTGAAGGAAACTAACATCACTATGAACTGAGATACTGTGTAGCTAGATTTTCAAGTCCCTTCAAGACAAGTGAAAGGTCATTGTAGTTCCCTTTGGTAGGGAATGCTGGATGATATTTAAGCCCAGCTCTGAAAGCCTGGAATAATAGGAATTGCAGGGTGATCACAGTGTCAGAAGAGTGAGCAATGCATTCTGAGTCTGCTCTTAGGATGACTAACCAGCACCACTTTGTGAGCCCTTAGGAACCAGGACTTGAGATTTGATTAGTTTGGACACATAATAACAGCTCAGTACTTAACAGCACTCGTTTCCTGTGCTCAATTTCATGAGATTCCTCTTCCTCTTGGATCTTTAAACATTTAGTTATTTAAAGACCTGAAAATTCTTTAAACAAATTCATCATGATTCTTGAGCCTCTAGTTCTGAGCATTTCTTTGTTATAATTCGTGGGTAGAGTTTTATGCCTCTTACAGGGGACACAGTGGTGGAACAACTGTCAAACTCTGTTTCTTATCATAGGGCTCTCATTGGAATTAAATATTTAAAGCAGAATCAGTAATATTTTATCAAATTGACACAAAGGACAGATTTACATGGTGAAGAGAAAATTGGATTTTGAGTGACCAGCTGGTCCCAATTTGTCTGGGACTTTCCCTGCTAGCACTGAAAAGTCTTATATTCTGGAGAAGACACAGTTTCAGGCAAACAGAGATAGGCAGCTCAGACTTGCCCTGCTTTAAAAATGGGACACTCTCTGTTCTGGGAATCCCCTTGTCCAGGATGGTTGGTTATTTTAACTGGGCCGAGAGTGTAGAGAACCAAGTTCTAGTCTGAGCTGAAGGTCTCTGTGGCATATGACAGGGTTTTCTTCTGAAAGAAACACTATCCATTCTGCTCTCAAAGGTCATGTAAATTAATCTGGATTTCAAATGGGTAAAAGCACTCAGGATGCTGATGGATCAGATCTAAGATATTCGGGGAGATAATGCTGATAAGCACTGGGTCACTTGAATAGCCAGTGCTGCTGTGTTTGGTGTTACAAGCCAAACACACACAACAGGTGCCTGTGCTTTATGGCCAAGGAGGAAATTGCCTGGGTTTTCTGTGCCTCATGGCCAGGGAGGAAATTGCCTGGGGTTTTCCGTTTCTTTTAACATATGCTGTTTCCCAACTTGCGAGCTTGGAATGCACATTTCCATGCCAATGTCAATCGTGTGTGCAAACTTAGGTTTGGGAAGACATAGCTGGAACTGGGAGCGCTGGTTCCCAGGGCCTGGTGATTGCCCAATGTAACATCCACTTCACAATCACCCATCACTCGCTGGGCTCTGTGCTGGGAATCCAGATAAATAAGACAAGGCCCTGTTCATCAAGGGGTGCCTTGTTCTGTGAGGGACATGGAATAGAAATTACATTACTGGAAACAATATGACAAGTGCGATAATGGAGCCTTATACAGAAGGACATCTGGGGGCAAAAAAAGAAGTGATTTATTCCACTACTCTGCTTCACGCCAATTGGCACCCCAATATCCAGCATATGGGTGCACACGTGTGCTCACAGCTCACGGGACTGTTGTGCTACAGTGCTCTGAAGCTCTGTTTTTGTAGTTCCAGCATTAGATGTAACAGGATAGAATGTCATTTTTACAGTTTCTGTACAAGGCATAAAAACAAGAAGAACAATTTGAGGGGGCATTTGAATTTTCCTGAAATCCCATATCCAACTTACTTCCTTTAAGATTTCCACCTTATTAACTGGCATATCAATACCTGTTATAAATGCATTATCCCCAAATCCAGTACTTTCATATTTACTTGGCAGGGGACACACCATGATCACTAAGGTGGTTTTCCCAGGTCAAGGCTTGTCCATTGCGTTCTGGATGTGCTAACCCTCGTGATTTCCCCAAATGTGGGAACTTGACTGTGCAATTTGTGGTAGGGGGGACTGAGCTTGTTAGGGTCCGTGACTCGATGGGTCCCCTCCAGGTAACAAATACACGGGATTGGAGATGTAAAAATCAAGCAGAGTCTTTACTTTTCCAGCTAGCTGGGGCCGACCGGCTTCCCAAGACATGCAAGTCTGGTCAGAACGATCGACCCCCATTCAGTTTCAGGTACAGATTATATAGGCCCACACAGTCATTACACAAAAAGCATTCCTCAGCAGACACTTTAATCAATCATCTTCTAAAAGCTATAGTTTCGGTTAAACATCTTTTCCAGGAAGGGTAGATCTGGTGTAAGCCTGGCGCAACCTCCCTCTTTTGTTCCTTATCGGT